AATAATAATAATAATAATAATAATAATAATAATAATAATAATAATAATAATAATAATAAAGGGAAAGATTAGGAGAAGCGTTTCAACTAACCAATAATCTGCGCCGAAGAAAGCTCAAATACAACTCGATTCTGGCGTTAAACAAAACCGCAGCGGATATAACTGACTCAGTAGAGAGGCAATATTCGCAAAGTGATTGCTCTTTACTGTGACCGTTTGAGGTAGCCGAAATTGACGATCGATTAGTCACCAGGAGTTCGTGTCGAGCTCTCTGGAGAAGAGCCTCTAAATTGCGTTTCTCCTTGAAGCTAAAGAAGATCAGCTCGGCGTGGTGATCGCATTGACCCTGGACAATCTGGATAAACTTCAATAAACTATCGGGATCATAACTTTGTTGTATAACGGTCTCATTCGCCTGGATAGCTTGAGCAACCAACTCCAAGAGCTGAGTCATTAGGTCTACGTGGACATTTGATTCGTGAAGTGAATCTCCAGTAACAGCTAGAGCAAGCTGGTTTGCCGCTTTTTCACCGATCTTGGAAGCTAGGTAGGTCCCATACTTCGTGAGACCCATATCATGTTCGTGAATAATCGGGAAAATTTCAAAAAGCTCTTCAATTGATTTTGCATCGTCAACAGCAACAAAATTTTCAAAAGATGCTTCTACTTTCGAGACTACTTCTTGATGAAGTTCCCTCAGCTGTGGTAGAACTTGCAAACCAATATTTTCTAAAATCATTTACATGAAAATTTATTCACAAACCTTTTCCGAGATTTTCAACCAATTTTATCGTCCGGTCATCCATTTTTAGGTAGATAGAGATATTTTTGGCAGCCTAAAATATTTTTTCAAAGCACAACTTACATTAATTATATCGCTCTCCTTCAGGGCACTTTGCGTTTTATCAAGGCAATCACAGAGAGCAATTATGTTCCCGATTAGAGCTTCGACATTTTGCACTCGATTCTTTTAAAATGATAAAAACAAATTAACTGAGATATACCTTTGCTATATCTAGCTGTCGAACTTTGCCACTAAGTTGTATACCGATATCCGCAGCATTAGTTACAATTTCGGACAGTCGGATGGCTTCTGTACTTAGAGTCGACATCTTGGGTCTAAGACTTGTTATTAAATTTTACAAAAAACCGACAAGGACTCCTGTAAATCGATTAATTTCTTATCTAACTCAGCATGTATCGCCTCATATTTGTGCACCGAATTCACTAAAGCGTTCTAAGGAGACATGTTTGCAAAGTTATATACTACCTCATATTCATCAAGGTCCAGAAGAGCTGCATTAAGTTCCTCTAAGCTTTTCAGTTTACTAACGTCAACGTTCATCAGGTCACAGGCTAGATAGAACCTATGAACAGTCAGGTTAATTGGGAAGCTTCAGAGTTCATTTTACAAAATTTATCGTTTCTATTCTATTTAGATAGATTAAAATAAGCAAAATATGCATTAAAATATTCTGTAACATTTTATTAAACACAATTCTTAACTTTAATTTTATTTGTTGAATGTTCGCATTCTCAATTTTAGCTGACCTTAGCCACTTGATGAAGGTCGCCAAGCCACCTTCAATCTTTTCCAAATTAATTACAAGAACTGTTAAAGCAACGTAGTTATTTCTACCTAGCAAACAATATCAAGAAATGTCTCATACACGTAGACAATATGGAATTTGTGACGTACGCAAACCTCACACAATAAAATGCACATCCGAGTGTTTTGGAATGTGTCCATAGCACTGCTCAAATAATTACCTATTAATGTACCCTCGAAATATGCTAGATATATTTGATAGCTATTCGCATTTGCCGATGTCATGTTTTGCAATAGTCGTTTTGCTTACAGCACGACTTCCCTCTCTGGCATCGCGATAGTCCTTTCAAGAAAGAAAATCTGCCATAGATTTTTTATTGGTGTAGCAAATCCGCTGCGAAGTGGCATTCAATTTCGCAAAGATGGGCCATCGTCATACTCCTCACTGACCTTGAACAAGCAAACTTCTATTCGAAGCATAAAAAGCCACAGTAGCTTATTCGGATGCAATATTATACAAGGATGAAAACATTTGAGCTCAGAACAAATGTAGGTCGCGAATGACAACCACAAGAAAAATGCAGAAAAATTTTAGAGTATCGCTACACTATAGAAAAGTGCATTTGACAACTAAGTCAATGCGCTTGTAATCCAAGCAAAGCTTAGCAAATGCAATTTCACTTTGAGGGGATCGTATAACCAAAACAAATACATAAAGAATTGAAAATGAAAAATGTGTCAATTACAAAAATTTATTAACAATATTAATACAGATTATATAGGCTTGATTTTGAAATGCAGACCGATAAGAGAGAATACTAAACACTTCAAGTCTTGAACTAAGTAGTAGAAGGTGTGCAAACCCTCTGGATCCCTAAAAGAGTGGCTGATAAAGTACTCAACCGAAAGACTTACCTGCAGCTGTTGATCTCAACTAGAGAACCAATTTTTGACGTCGTAAAGGAAATGTGTTCCTCGCCACAAACAATTTCAAGTTCCTGGCGGCCCACACGGTCAGGAGCTGGCCAACTTGAATCATCTTCGCTCATAATGTCACTCTCGAGTATTATTCGCTTTAGTTCTTCCATAACAGCTTTACTAACAGTAGCCTAGATGGCGTCAATGAAAAAAAAAATCGACAATACCTCCTTGCGAATCATCGTGTCGTTCTTGTAATTGGAATTATTTGCATATCGAAGTTTGCCTAGAAATATTGAAATGATCAATAGATTTACCATCTGGACGAAATTCAAATTCTAGAAACTCGTGCCCAAACTTCCCTTTGTGTCCGACATAATAACGCAGGTAAAATGAATCAGTCATTTTGAATATTGTAAAATTTGGTTAATTTTGGGTAGGCTAATTCGTACCAATTTGCGTAAATTCTTCGATGGGCCAATTGGTTGATGATTTGGTAAACTGGAAGCACTATTAATAAATATGAAAATCCTTCGATAATTATTTTTCTAGTAGATGATTATTCACTTAACTTGTTATTAGGACAATAAATATAAAACGGTATAGCCAAAATATTTGGTTTTTGTTCGTGTTTTATACCTTTCTAAAGCGGACATTTTCTTTTTTCTTTTTAATAAATACTAATTAAATATTTCTAAATTTTATATAAACCATCTTATATTTATATCGTTTACTGAGAAATACAACTTCAGAATGCAATTATGCTTGGAGGTGTCTGGAATTTTAGCAACCACAAAAATTGAGCATGGCATATATTTTATTTGAAAATTAGCAACATTCACAATCTGAAGGTGATGATGACCTCTTCTTTTTGATTTTCAGTTTTTTAAAAGCCGCACACAACTTCTTGAATAACGCTGAAATTCGAGCTTTCCAGCTTTTTCTCCTTGTATTCATAGTAAATATGATTGGTGTTTCGCAGTTTTCATATGAGACGGTTCTTTCTGCGAATCGGCATGAACCACAATCATTCCTTACTCTGCTATTTTTACATACTAAAGCAGAATTTTGGCAAGGAATGTTATCGCACTGCGCATCAAAATATATCGAGTGCTCTTCTCCTGGATCTTGCCTCAGCACTTCCTGATTTCTCCTTTGATTTTCTAGCTCACATTTGTGTATCTTGTTTTTTTTGCTAAGTTTTTTGCATTTTTTCTCCAACTTTTGAATTCTTCTCATAATATTTTGATAGATAAATTCATCGGCATAT